CAATAGTGGTTCTATATTGTTTGTACAGCTCATCAGCTAAGGGAATAGAAACGAAATAATTGTCCATAGTTAAATTTCTTCCGGTATTTAAAATTGGTGCAGCGATTCTCTTTACGATATTGGCAGCTGTATTATCGAGCTGATAAGGGCCGGATGGCTGTTTACCACAATATGCCTCCATTTTACAAGTGTAAAAGGTTCTTGCGTCGACTAATGCATTAMTTTTTATGCCGTACTTGGCAGGTTTATTGGGAATATATACTCTGAACTTGCATCGTCCTCTAAACGATTCAAGCATTTCGTCAATAGTGCAGTATTCTCCAGGAGTATAACAGTTACCACAGGATTTGTTGAAGTCGTCAAATATTTCACGAAAAGCGGCTAAGTTATCAACTTCACTTCTAAGTGAACGTGAGTCAACGTCATCAAATCTAGTTACACGAATTAAAAACAGAAATCGTTTCAAGGACATTGTGGCTTTGAAAATATCTGGAGCAGTGCCGTCTTGAAGCCACATCTCTTTTAAATTTGTATGGTTCATTCTCTTTAACCTAGCCATGTATAAGATACCTATAAATGYACTTAGCTCGACAGTATCTGTTGATTTACAATCTCTGTCACGTCCATATGCATCACTTATTTTTTCAATATATAAATTTGTATATCTGACAATTTTTGAGATCAATGAATTAGTCAGAAACAAAGCAAGGCATTGTATTGGTGTTTCTGCAGTTTTCGCAATGCTTTTCACACCTGGAAGATGCGTTATAATGTTGCACTGCCTAGTGCGAACATTAGGAACAGGACGACTAAGCGCCCATTTTGTGTTTTTATCTCTGCCCCAATAAAATATGCGTTTTCCACGTGGGGTCTCCTCAAAACCGTTAAGGAAATTCTCTTCCAAATCATCAACAGATTGATCAGTGTCAGTATTGTGATCACTATGAATGCTCTCGCAATCACTTTCACGGAGAAAATGGTCATCGTCCTGTTCTAATTCTTCATCGGTTGAAACTTCTTCTAACCACGACGTAATATGTGATACATCCCTAGTACGGCAACAACGCTTGCTTTCCATTTTAATTACATACGAGTGCTAAAACTAATGCAAACCACCACTTTCAATTGGATAACTTGAGCTATTGGCAARGCAAAAAAAACTTACGTAGTTTGTCGCGTAGTGAGCAAATTACCGCAGTAAATAAACAGCMACCTATCAACACTTTAAAACATGCACTGATTACAGCGTGTGATTTTGAACAAGTGGAACACAACTTTGAGCGAAGGTACTGAGCGTAACAATTGGGGCAATAACATAGAACATAGAAATTTTTTCAATTAAAAAATTGTGTGAGCAAAATGCTCATAGCGCGCCTTCTCTAGGGTTAAACGAAGGAATAAGCAAGATATACAAATTTTTTATGAAATGGCGGGTTGTGAAAATTGATTTTATTTATTGTTTATAAAAAATATATATATTTCTCGGTGAGAAAAAATCTTTGATGAATTACTAAAGAATATATTTAATAAGCTCGTATTAAAACTTAAGACTAATCGGACTAGCCGTTTTCAAGTAATGTTGGTCACCGACTTTGCAAACACCATTTTGAAAAAACCCGTTTAAAGTTTGGAATGCACTATACATAAGATCTTTTTTTTTTTTTTTACTTTAGGCAACATTTAATTACTCGAGCTGATGTAGTCTGCGAGCCATTCTTCGTTCTCGGGTGCTCTGACACTGCTCGTCTTCTTTTTCTTCATATGAATGCGCATTGAGCGCAAGTGGAATTTCTATTGCCTTCATATTATATAATACAATAGTGATGCATTTCCACAGTTTTCGAACCGGCCGAAACAATTTTCGTAAATATTTTTCAAATCAGTTAATTGTAGCTCTCGTTATTGTTTTGGTTAAAACCACCTAAACAGCTTTCTAATAAATGCTTACCCCTGAGATCTGTAAAAATCGGATAATTTATTGGCAGCTGGAGCCCTCTGTCAGCTATGCTATGCGTCTGGTCCATCCGGGCACTTGTCGTGCTGAGGTTTTTCATCAGTTGAACATAAAGGATAATTATTCCTTATGCTAAGCTATAAAAAACTATCACCTTATTGATAATCTGTCGTGTAAGTTTGCTTTTCCACCGAGATTTTTTTGAATTTTTGCATTTTTTTCAAACAAACTTGGCTCCCACGTCACTGTTGATAGTCATTACTTCGAAGTCGGATACTTCGGACTGAGTAGGCAATTGAGAACAAAGACTAAACTATATAAGTCACTCATTATTCCTGCTAAATGGTGCAGGACAATGACAACAGAGAAAAGTTCTGCAGAAGATTTATGAGAAAGTGGCTACGCTGGTTAGGTTATGCTGTCCGTATGGATGAAAACACTCCAGCTCTGAAATGATTCGACGCAATACCCGCCGGGGGAAGCAGATGAAGAGAAAGACCTCCACTCCGTTGGAAATTCCAGGTGGAGAAGAACTTGGCTGCACTTAGTATCTCGAATTGGCGCCAAATTACTAAAAGTAGAAATGATTGCCGTGCTCTTGTTAACACGTATGACCGGGTAAGCGGTGTCTACGAAGAAGACAAGCCTGTTTAAAAGTTTTGGTGGCTGTTTTTACACTGAGGTAAATATTATTCATTGTTAAATCTTAAATAGGCTGTGATATAAAAGCTCACACGTCCATTAAACAAAACTTTGCTGCACCTTTTAGCCCTAACCCGAGGACTCTCATCACAAATAAAAATCTTGATTTATTTCATCAGAGTGCCAGACAAAAGGACAGGAATTTATGTTACGATCTGCACAGTTATCTCACAGCAAATCAATTTTGAAACCAAGTTCTTGTTCAGAAGGAGTTTGAAACTCAACATTTCCGTCACAGATCTTACATTTCACATATTCAGAAATCACTGCAAACACTGTTATAAAATTTATAATGAGATACTCCGTTCGTTTCAGACGGATCACGTGGAACGGAGATTTCCACTTGTTCTTTGACATTTTTCGCTGAGGCACTGAAACCACTTTCGTCAGTTTCATCTGTTTTTGGATTATAAAAATTGTTTACCTTTATACTCTCGACTTATCTTAATACAAAAAAAAAAATGATTTTTTGAACATTTTAAGTCAAAACCGATGCTGATAACTACCGTCAAAAAGAAAATAATCCGTCAACTCATGTTGTAAAAACAAAATATTTCCCTATTTAAAATAAAATAAATTCTGATTTTCAAGAAACATTATTTAAAGGCCAATCAATTAACAATAAAACTTTTGTGCATAAGTTTCACTGAGCTTTGGTTATCATAAAATCTTTATGTCAGGCATTATTATATACTTACACTTGATCTTATTCTTACACGGTTTTTGGAACACCTCTTAGTTTACTTTTTTACACAGTTTTACTTTTAGCACATTTCATTTTAGTTATATACTTTTTAGCAATAAAATCACAATTCCATACTTAATGAATTAGAACATGTTATCGTAATACGACTTTAAAAGCGGTATGTTTTCGATGTGAAATTACTGCGGCAATGTTGAGAAAACATCATGTTTTACATGAAAATTTGGCAGCGCTGCCAAAATCACACATTCTATCGGTAAACAAACGCAACATAAACATTTTTAATGCACGATAAGATGGATGCGGAATTGTGTATTAAATATTACTTTTATGTTTGATATAATTCAATACTTCTGAAAGTCTTTCACTTTTATAACTCTTCTTTTTTCGCAGTATTCTTTAAGCAAAAAACAATTTCGTCTACATCTTCTTTGCCTTATTTTGTTCGTATTTTTCATAAAATTGTTGCCTACATTTTCCAAAATTTTTCATCCGCATTTGTATACGTTAACGTTACACGTTCTACGCAAAACAAATACGGCAAAATATCAGTTGAGCATCAGTAACAGAGTATCAAGTTGTAACTAGAAAAACTTTATCTGAATTTGAATCCAAACACAGAACGGTCTTCAAAATTTCAGAGGTAATTAAATTAAGCAGTAGTAGATTTTGCTATTGCCAGAGTTTTTTTTTTGTTTGTTCCTTTTAACGGTAATATACAGTATCCGACAAAACTATGTATACCCCAGCACATTTTATATTGTTCTTTGAATATTTTTTTCAAAAGTGCAACAATTAAAAAATTATACTAAGGTAAGTGCACACTGTAAGTTGACAAATAATAACGGTATGATATTTACCGTTAGTTTTTGTTTTGCTTGCAGAATGTGCACTTGCTGATGATCAGTTGAACTTTGCAGGCGACAAAATTATGTATACTGTGGCAATATTTGTGCGTAGTGCTTCTTTGCGTAAATAATTTTTGCAAATATTTAGAAACAAACTCGACAAAGGTAAAATTTCATGATTTTATAGTCGATAAAAGTGTTTGGGTAAATAATATAAAGATAAAATTAGTGAAATGCCTAGATCTGCAGAAATAAGTGTTGACCTGCGAAAATTGGTTGTTCATGATCATTTAGATGGAATGGGATACGGAAAAATTGCAAACAAATATTCTAAAAGCAAGGCCATAATCCAAAAGGGATAAAAAAAAAATTACCAAAATAATGGAGGGCTAGAGAGTGCTCCAAGATCAGGCCGCCCTACAGTGCGCGAAGAGACAAAAATAGTGAGAGAAGTGAAAAAACATCCGACTGTGTCAGCCCGATGTTTCCGAGCGAACAATTCAACGAAGAATTAGAAAAGACGGGAGTTCCAGCCACTACAAGGTTAAAAAACCGTTCATCAGCAAGAAAAATTTAAAGGCACGATTGAAGTTTGCAAAAAAGTATTACAAACTGCCACCAAATTTTTGGAAAAAAGTAATTTGGAGTTATGAAAGCAAATTTGAATTTAAAAATACTAGAGGACGCCAAAAAGTTTGGCGAAAGAGCCACGAGAAGCTTCAGAGTAAATGCGTTCAAAGGACCATAAAGTTTAGAGGCAGAAATGTATTGGTTTGGGGTTCTTTTAGCTTGGTTAGTGGTCCCTCAAATCTCGTAATGATCAAAGGTAAAATGACGGGAGAGTCTTATGTTCAAATGTTAAGTACCAATGTGGTACCAACTACGCAAAAAATGGGCATACGGGATAACTTCATATACCACCAGGAGAACGACCCCAAGCATACGTGTCGGATTGCAAAAGAATACTTCGAACAAAAATCGATAGAACTCCTACCATGGCCTGCCCAGAGCCCCTACTTAAACCCCATTGAGCACTTATGGCAATATTTGGATAACAAGCTTGGTTAACAGCATGCCTCGACGTCCATTGGCAGTATACACTAAACATTAAAGCTCTAGTGTGAAGGTAACTTCAAAATTTATTCGGGTATACATACTTTTGTCCTTGCTAAGAATTTCTCTTTTTCAGGTTACCGCGTATTTTGCAGTCACTAGCACTACAATGCAGAAAATTAGTTTAATTTTTTGTATGTAGTATGCATACTCATAAGTAAAAACAATAACGATGCAAAAAATAAACTTCACTTTTCACAAGTTATGATAATGTTCTTTTCAACTTTCATGGGGTATACATAGTTTTGACGGATACTGTATATATATAATACAAAAATCTACAATGTTTTAATACCGTATCAATAAATACATTCGCATATAAAATTATTAAGAAACGCCAATTAAGAAGATATAAAGATTTCTTTTTTTTTTTTTTTTTGCACGAGTAATGTTCTGATAAGGATAATGCATCAGCTCCTTTATAAAATATGTTTGTACCATCATAGTATGCCTGAATTGGAATTTAAGAGTGCTTTGCCCA